CACCAGCATCAGCATCAGCATTCTAGGTTATCTATAATATTTCAATGATATGGTGACCAGTCCGCCATTTTTGTGTTTGGAACGGGATCCGACTACATTCTGAAAAATCTCGAAAACAATCTGGCAAAAGTTTCGAGTGAAGGTTGTAATTTGAATTTGTGGTCATTTAGCATCCAGTGGCGACATCAGGATTGTAGAGGCGGGGGGAGGGGCAAGCTGAGGGCAAGGAAAAATGTTGAGGGGGAAAAATGTTGTGATCGCGTAGCGCCAATTCGACCTCGTAGCACGAGGACGAATTGGTGGGGTTCAGGGGCCGGCATTATGGCCCCTCTAGGGGGCGGAGCCCCCTGAAGCTCAGAGCTCAAGCATTTTTTAGGTGAAAATCAAGCCTCTATAGGCCTTAAACAGAGAAATAAACACGCTTGTAGAGCACATCTGATCTATATCCATCTTCTAATTTTACTGGAAATACTTCTGTAACATAGGGTTAAAACCCAAAAATAAATTGAAAGGAAACATTTTGGGCCTATGGAATAAAATTAATATTGCCATTGCTCCTGTGAATTGTGTCCCTAAAACATTTGTACAGAAGGTGACCTGGGGGGGGGGCAAAGGCTTTGCTAAGGGCATGCCCCTTCTTGGCGCCGCCACTGTTAGCATCGATAAAGTTTATGTCGCGTATGCGCTGAAACTCTCTAAGTATTTCTAATTAATTTCCGTTCGATGCTTATTCAGGCCCGTTGCCTATGGGCGCTCTCTATTGTCGTACACCACCTAAAGTACGTTTCCCCATGACGTGCAGCCTAGTTCATCGGCTGCCCTTCACACACACTGACTGATAAAACCATCAGATGCTCACTACCGTGTCGCACTTACGTTTTCATTTCCGTCTCACGTGACCACCTCGTGTTTCTCAGCTGCCTATACTCGTGGCGTGCTCTCTGTGGCGTGCTGAGTGGTGTATTTTACTACGGATATATGCTATTACACTGTATGCACCAAATACACCTCTACCCCATCAATATTTGTTATTATTAGCATTATATTATCAGCATTATCACAATCAATTAGCAGGTGTCTCAAATATATATACGAAACAATAGTAGCGAATATATTATGAATTACGCCAGCTTAAAATTTACTAGGAATATATGCTGTTATATGAGATATAAAAGGGCACTTTAAATAGGACCATTCACGATGAATCTGAAGATTGGCGAAAAGATTTAATTGGCGATAAAAATATTTAAAATTATGTCGGAAACGCAATGCATCAATTCCAGGAGTAGATAATAGGGAATTATTAGGGAATTAATTAGGGAATTAATAGGGAATTAATTAGGGAATAATTCCCTATTATTTCTACTCCTGATCAATTCGCATGCGTGCGTACATACGCGTGTGTGCGCTTGCGTGCGTGCAAAATTTCTCTCCTGTTTCTGTCTAGATTCCCCTCGACTAACTCGTCCTCAACTCAATAGGGTTCTGTAATATCTTCATATAACGATCTGTAATCTGTAAGATCATTCGCTACAAAGTTAAGGACCATTGACAAGAATTTCTGGTATTATTATCTATTTACCCGTATCGTTGCGCTTAACGATTAAAACGATTTATCGGGTGACACTCTGGAAAGAGCAAGTGACGTCAACAGAGAAATTAAGAGCAGCAAGAGATATTTAAATAGAATTTGCGATCGTTGTATATTTTGATTAACGGTAATAGAGGCACTAACAATTAAGTGTTAATTATTTATTAATTATTTAAGTTATACCGGCCAAGGCTGAAACGGATGGGAACGTATGAGGAAATGTTACTTTAAAAGACACATGTTTATCAGTCCAATTAACCTCAACCGATCTATAATTCGAACAAAACTTAAAGCACGAGTTATCCACGGATCCTTTTCTCACTCCCTGAGAACGATTACAACATTATAAAATTAAAATTGATGTAAATTATTTTTAGTACTATAACGTAGCTATAGTGCGAAGCGTGTCAATGGGCGATTTCCACCAGGCCAATGTACTTACTACTTGCATCGCAACTGCCCGCGCTCAACTGTCAAGACCGCAAAACCGCATGTGGCCCAACTGCCCCAGACAAATAAATTAACTATGCCCCTATAACATATCTTTGCTAATATAATATAATAAATATAATATAAAGTATTAATATAAATCTCGACCCGAAATGACCAAATTGTGGTCTATCGCCTTTGGGAGTGTTTTGTCCGCTCTTCTTTTATTGGCAACATATTTTCATACTGTTGCGCATGCACAAACATCGATGCCTAGCCGTGCCCGCCCGCCCAGCTCACTCGCTCACCCAGTCACTCACCCACTCACTCACTGTTCCCTATTTCCTCTTCCATCTTTCTTTCTTTCACGCATCTCTCTCCCTTTCTATAATTTTCTATAAAGCAGCAACTCATCGACGATAATGCGGGGAATCTGAAGACTCGTAACGGAGATGTATAGAAGATTCGTGTTGCAAATACTAACCCTGCAATAAATTATTTTTGTACTCTGTTCGCCGTTGAACTTGAGTTTGTAACACAGGAACATAGCTAGCGCGATGGGGAACAAGGGCCAGTACAGTTGCCCTCCCCAAGAACAATGTGCATATTATTGCATATGACCAATGGCCAACTGTCCACGACCAGCTTCCGTGAAGGCAAACCATGCGTAGCTTTGTCACTGAACAGATAAGTAAGCTATGCTCCTATTAGTTCTAGAACGGTAGCCAGTCGTTCCGCCATAGAACTGAGGGAGCAGAGGGTGAGTCCTGGGGCGGAACGAATGACTATAATTCTAGAGCGATGCTCCTAGATCACGTATCTATGCTAAATCTCGACTCGAACAGATGAAACGATAAACTCGACCCGTTCTGAGAGCGTTTGCCGTGCTTCCTTTATGCATGGACAGACTGTTCCGCATACCTTGTGCGTACCAAAGTAAATACAGAAAGTGGCAGACAAAAAACGGCTGGCTGCAGCATCGACATTTTTCTTTACTTTGCCGAGTGATCGGAGAAGCGGAACGCGCGTGCTTTTCTCTGGCTTTGCTGTATCGCTCGCGCCCTTTCGCACCCTGCTCACCCACACACCACTCACTCCCTCACTCACTCACTCACTCACTCAATCGCACGCTCGCTCGCCCGCCCGGCCGCCACACCGCCCGCCCGCCCAACCACCCATACACCCAACCACCGACACACCCCTCCCTCCCTCCCTTCCATCTTCACTCACTCACTCACTCACTCAATCGCACGCTCGCTCGCCCGCCCGGCCGCCACACCGCCCGCCCGCCCACCCACCCATCCACCCAACCACCGACACACCCCTCCCTCCCTCCCTTCCATCTTCACT